GAGGTTGGTTTTCGACGCTTCTAGTAGACTGGTCAGGTCTTCCCTTAAACTCTCCTTTTTGTAAGGCTGTGTCCCTTCTACTTCCCCTATCACGCTATGAATTGCACTGACTTGTGCAATGGTAGTTCCAGGATATATCAACTTATCCTCCTCCGAGGTATTCATCATACAGGGTCTATGTCTATGTTGTCTACCAGCCAGCGACCAACAATGGATCGGTCGGTCTTCAAAAAGGATTCAAAACGTTCCATTATTAAAGTGTCCCCATGCATGGCTTTACCCTCAGGCACATACACCTTCCCCGGTACTATGACCTCTGATTTTGCTGGTACTGAGACCTCAGTTGTACATACTCGAGTTACATTTCTATCATAACATCAAGCCCTAGGATACCATCTGTGGTGAGTTTCGCGACACCAGCATCAACCCATATGTTGGTGTTGTCCCCCAACCTGATGTTAAATCTTCCTTGTCCAAGGATCGGTAATTTGTCCGCACTTGCCGTCAGGACCTCCTTGTATACCTGCTGTAACTCTGGTCTAGCTGCTGGGGAGATGCAGTTATACAGCTCTTCAGAAATCAAAGTTATGGTCGCCCCTGTATCAACCAATAACTTTGCTTTGGCACCCTGTATGTCAGTCTGGACATACATACCAGCTTCATTGACAGATGATGAGACCCCAATATCGGTCTTGTGTTCAGCCCGTTTTCGTCTCCTGCGAGTCCTTACTCACTTTGCCACTAACTTTTCTGCTTCATTGTCAGTGGTTGACTTATTTTTCAATTTGGTACAATTCCTGCGAAAATGACCCTTCTCATGACAGTAGTAGCAAGCCTTTTTACCAGCATTATCTTTGTTTGGTGTTTGCTGACTTGCAACCTCTTTGTCTCTCTTCAACTTCACTACATCGTCCTGTAATGACTGTAGTTTCTGTTGTATGTCCTTTAATATGTCAGACGTCTCAGTGTTAAGACTAGCCTTCTCTCTTTTCCTAAAGTGGGACTATCCTCTGTGTTTGTGGCTCTCAAATGAGCTGTACCGTCATTCCATTTCTTTTCAGCTCGATTGTAGGCCTCCAGTTCAACAGCTAACCGAGTAGCGTCTGTGAGGTTCTGAGGTCGTGCTTGTTTTATCCTGATCCTCATGTCTGAATCAGCTAGAGCTTCAATAAATTGCTGTTTGGCCAAAGTATCACGAACATCACTAGGTACTGTTGGGTAGGCCAAATTCACTAGTCGTCTGATTGCTTGTCCCAACTCTGGTAGACCTTCCGCAGCTTTCTGTCGCCTCTCTAAGAGCTGTAAATCGATGTAATTCCGTTTGGTTAGGAGGCGCGAAACGTTCCTCCAATGCACTGAACAGAGACTTGAAATCTTCTCTCTCGGATATGGCCAGATCCCTGAGTATACCTTGAGCTTGGCCCCTTAGTGCAACAGCCAGATATAAGCCCTTCTCGTAATCGGACCAGTTGTTGATACGAGAACAAGTCTCAAAATGAGATTTGTAGTCAACCCACGAGGTGGAACCATCATATGTTGCTGGTTTCACATGCCTGGCTTTCACGGCAGTGTTTCGTGGTGACCCGTTATACTCCTGTTCTTCTTCTTCATCATCACTACTGTAGCTACCCTGCCCCTATAGTGACCCTCTGTGCCGTCTCTGAGGTCTTCTATGTGTTATCCATTCATGAGTACCTTTATTGATATCACCAATATAGTCAGGGAGCTTCACAGTTTTTGACCGGGCTCTCTCTCTGGAATGGTCCCGTTGTCTATCAGTAGATGGCCTTGTAGTGGGGGACGTTCGGAGTCTATTTTGGTCTTTTGTCTGCAACCTTGCTAACTCAGCCCTCATATGTCTGATTTCCTCCTCAACCTTATCAACATCAACATCTACAGGCACCCTATGTGGTGTATTAACCTCTCTAGTTCTCTCCATTGATGCAATACCAGAGTCCCTTGGCCTATGAGGTGTAGATTTTGAATAACTAGCATACCTTTCTATCACTGGTGTAACAGGGCTCACACGACCATAGTACGGCACGTCCTTTCTCTGGGTAACGGTTACCTCATCATCCTCCAATGAACTGAGAACACCATCCCCTATATAGTTAGCCATTGTTAGAACTAATACCAATAACAATTATGTGGTTTTGAAGAACAGTGAAGTTTTATTCTCTTTTTTTACAAAATAAAATATAGTACAGAAAACACAATTACAGGGATCCCACCGCTGCCACCAAATTTATCTAACGTACCGGGGTCCGTACCCTAGTCACTTCTAAGGATCCCTGTGTTATAAGCTTGACTATCTAGTTCTATACTACAGATGCAAATATATACAAATACGTGTTACTGCCTTGTAACCAACATTCCTAATGTTTATTTCGTAGCATGTACAAAACCAACGTTACATGACATGCTAAAACTATAACCAAAGCTATCTGCTTTGTAATTAATATAACAACTAACTATATACAAACACTATCGTACCAACCAGGCACAGCCCCACTCGACCACCAAGTCGTAGCTCGCCCTAACTATAGTCACTATAGAAGCCCTATGACCATGAGCTGTCGCTATACCTAGTCGCGCCAAGTACTACAACCTTATAACCACTAACAGACTACACGTGCTAGTATTGCAGCGACACTCTAATGACCACGATTACCCCTAGTACAAAACACTATAGCCCCGACTACTCAGAACCAGTAACGACTATACAACACTATAGTCACCACTTCATGGACAAAGCTCTAGCCACGACTACCTAACACTGTAGTCGCTACTACGTGCATCCAGCACGAGTAACGACTATATACAGCCCTAGTCGCGACTACACAGCCCGGTTGGCTTATAGCTATCGCCAACACCTGAGTAGCTCACTACCGCACACTGTCTTTTATTAACATGTATAACACAGCAGTGTTTGGGTCAAGGGAACACTTATTCAGTGACTTCTATCTTACCAAACTACAGCCGATTACATACACACTGCTTACGGTACTAGGGTATTATTGATAATGATACGCCGTGCTCCACACTAGTTCTGCCGCAACTTGCTGGTTTTCGAGTATTTATACCCTATGGCTATACTAACGCCACCTCGCGGTGAGAAATGATATAATCCCCAATACGTTTTACTTGTGCCTCTATTAACACTACCTCGGTCAAGCGCGTGAAGTACAGAGATAACCAAAAGTCGATCTGTTTACCTGTTTCTAACCTGAATGATCTGCTACATTAACGGAGGTAGGATTACGATATACCCATTCATCACAAAAATTTACAGTACAGCATAATATATACACTATCTGAAGTTTTTATTGAATATGTGTTTTCGTCATGCTTCATTGATTTTAAGTTATATGGTAATCAAAATCACATGTTTAAATTACCTCGGGGAACTGCATAGGCTGTTGTACAAGCTAGAATGGTATGGGATAACTGTTTGAAACTCATCTAATTTTCTCTGAATTCATCTGAAAAATGCATTTTTGGTTTTAATTGAAGAATTATTTTTTAAAATGGTATTTATAAATATGGTAAAAGAAACCTAGAGAAATCAAGAGGTGCCAGACATGTCTCATCATTTTATTAACCAGGAAGTAGAAAGTCTATATCTCTAACTCATAACAAGGGTCATTTTGGTATCGTCTAGATTCACTGAATATCAAACAGCAATTTATTACAAATCAAGTATTTGCGCATTAACAGAATATCTAGCCATCCTACTGGCAGCTATTCCGAACTTTTGGATTCGGAAAATAAATCTAAATCAAATCCGGTCCGAGTACGTTTTTCCGATTATCATGAACTTTGTTTACATCCTATCTTTTGGCCTTGCTAATTTATCTTTTTTGATTTGACCATTCTAAAAGGTCTATGTTGAATAATCACGCAACTAGTTCAAAGGTCAGGAAGACATTGAATGAATGTTTGGTGTATTGAACAACATCAAAGCATTTAATATTTCTGAATTTTTTTTTACAAACTGAAGCCCTCTGTATGTTAAATAAGAGGAAAGAGATAAAAACTACTTATGTCTACCGTTATTGACATTCCATATTTGGAATAAAATATTCAGACATAACGGTCTCAGGTAAAATCAACAGATAATTGAATGTTATATTAAATAAATCAATTCTTTATTTTAATATTATTAGATCAATGTCATAAATTTTCTATCTTTCTCTGATAAAATACTGTAATCATACGCAAACCCGTTACACACTTTTTACCGTATCAAAGTATATTATAATTATTGTTATTAGACTGGATTCAAATTATATGACTGTAGTAAAACTTTAAATGTAGAATGAATACAAATTTGTCGAAGGATGAAGGTATGGATTGATAGGCTGGATAAGAAATCGGTGAATTTACAACGATAATCATGTATTTGGACCTTGAAATTATAGGGATGCAATTCTTTCAGTAATGTAACACTGTATTTTCTGGATTAGTATATTCATTCCTTTTACTACGGTAACACATTCTTGCTATTGTGATGTATTTGTTGCTTGTTTGCATGCCATGAAAAAGAACAAAATTTTAATAATTAATTTATTAATAATTATTTATCAATCAGTTAATAATATACAACACGTACATATTGCTTTATTTGATTTTTCATTAGAACATGCCGTTACGTATCACACGCAACATATACAATACAATATTGTACACACACACAAACACACACACACTCACACCACACACACACACACACACACACACACACACACACACACACCCTTCCTCACACTCACAATCGCACACACCCTCACACAAACATACACACACACCCTCACACAGGTGTTTCTTTCTCTACAAAGGAAACACTATTCTTAGATGTAAACTTATACGTCCTTATCACATCCAATCAGTTTATCAGAATAACTCCTCGTACACCTATACCATGCCTGGCTTCCTAATGTGATTAATCAACAATACAATTATGTTTTTGTAGTATACATTGTTTCTGTGAACAAGGAACTATGGAGGAGCAAGGGAAAGGGAAAAACGGCCAAATGGCCCCTACAGAGAAGGGTAAGGACGTCTGTGAAATTCTCTATATCTTAATGGGATAAAAATTGCAAATGAAAAAGTCATTTTCATTATATCCTGAAAGGGATTAGGGAGTTAAGTAATATTACAATATGTAAAGAACGTTAATCAATTAACACCCATCCGAACTGAATATTCCTGATCAAAGTATGAACATTTTTTGTAGAGGAAGAAAAACACGCCGTTCGATATATGGTTATCATTCTCGTGATTGTGGCAGTAGCCATTGCCATAGCTATAGCTATGATAGTCTATCTAGCATTTAACACGTAGCACCGAAAAATAGTGATTGGTTCGACCACCCTCCAGATCTATAGCAAGAATAATGTATTCTATGTTTACGTGTCAATTGTAATGCTAATACCTGTATCATTATTCTTTTGTTAATGCTCAGTGAACAAAAAAGAAAAGTTTGGTATCTGTTACATTTATATTGTTTTGTGATAAAAGAATTTAAACTCGTGCCTTATGTTAGACAGTGTATACATTACTTTTATCTGTCAAACTGCCTAAAACCATAATCTTGATACCAGAGATAAAACAAGTTGCAATTGAACTGTCGTGTGATGTAATAACAAAATTCACCTGTTAAGCAAGTATTGTGGATTGATGTCAATTCTGTGAAGGAACTAATGAAGTGTGCATTTAACTTTCTGTTAACACACAGAACAATATGCACGACTTCGCGTTTTTGAAGGTCTGCCCCACACAATTCCAGACGACGGTAACTTTACACCAGTTATTTCAAACGGTATATATATTCATATCTTTTCTTTCGGTAAACCAGATAATCAATGCATTTTTGACGATATTCAAAACATTCAGGCAGTATTAACATTGATTTATCTCAGATTTGTCAGTTAACGTATATTCAGTTATAAACATATTTTTTAAAACTAAAAAGAAACGTTTGTTTTCTTGATAATTTACATTGTTTTGTGATAAAAGAATTTAAACTCGTGCCTTATGTTAGACAGTGTATACATTAATTTTATCTGTCAAACTGGCTAAAACCATAGTCTTGATACCAGGGATAAAACAAGTTGGAATTAAACTGTCGTGTGATGTAATAACAAAATACAACTGTTAATAAAGTATTGCGGATTAATGTCAATTCTGTGAAGGAACTAATGAAGTGTGCAATATGCTCGATTTCGTTTTATGAAGGTCTGCCCCACACAATGCCTGACGATGGTACATCAGTCATTTCAAAAGCTTAATATATTAATATATTTTCTTTCGGTAAACTAGATAATCAATGCATTTTTGACGATTTTATTCAAAACATTCAGGCAATATTGATATTGTTTTATCTCAGATTTGTCAGTTAACATATATCCAGTTATAAAACGTATTTATAAAAATAGACTAACAACGTAATTTCTTTTTAGTAATAAAATGAATTTCAATCGATATTATTTCAATTTCTACGAATGGCTTGGATAATCGGCTGCAGTAACCAAGGAGTGTGTACAGGTATCGCTATCATCCACCCCTGAGTGGAACCCCTCTCGAATAGATACAGCAGAAGCCATTATAAGTGTGACTTTAGGATATCCGAAAGCATATGAAGAGTATCATTATGAGTACCAGACCAAGCTCTACAACATGAACATAGATCTCCTTGCTGCTTTAGGAAAGTACGTTTTTTTTCTCGCCGTTGGAAAATTATAAGGATGTTTATCTTTTGAATTTTAAGGTGATTTAACATTTCATAATACCGTATTACTATTTTCAATCCTGAAGTATTTTTATTGCATCAGCGAGTAAATGCAAGATAACTTTATTCTCTTATAAAAATCTCTTCTTAGTGAAGCAATATTACTCTTTGGTTATATGCAGTGATTCCGAGCTATCAAGTGTCACGTGGTCACGTGGAAAGTTGGCCCAATACATTAGCGGTATCGTTGTTTCTTCTCAACACGAGACCGCCACCTCATACTTTGGCCTTGGGAACCTGGTGGACATCCTTAAGAGACAGCTTCTTCTCTCATTGGATTACTTCCGCACCAACAGATTTGCTTTGTCATGGATGGCCATTGCCATGTATCAACATAACGAGACATTTGAAAGACAGTATATTTATGATAAGATATATTGATATAACCTCAAATGTGTGTGCAGCGATAAATCTATTATCTGTATCATTGCGGGCGAAATATCACACATGATGTAGTACATTATAAACTCGTACAGTGGGATAATTCCATTAAGAAATTAGCCTTTCATATAACAGTAGCAATGTTAATATAATTAGGTCTTTGACAGCCTTTATTATTTTTAATTACAGCCTTTATACCTAGGTCATTAAGCCTTACTATAACAGTAGGTCAATACAGCATATTATATAACATTATGTCATATTATAATCTTGAATACCTAATGTGTGTAGGTCAATCACAGCCTTAATATAACAGTAGGTCAATACAGCATAACAGCATAGGTCAATACAGCCTTAATATAACACTAGGTCAACACAGCCTTACTATAACAGTAGGTCAATACAGCCTTACAGTAGGTCAATACAGCCTTTATATAACAGTAGGTCAAACAGCCTTAATATAACAGTAGGTCAATACAGCCTTAATATAACAGTAGGTCATTACAGCCTTACTATAACAGTAGGTCAATACAGCAGTAGGTCAATACAGCCTTAATATAACAGTAGGTCAATACAGCCTTAATATAACAGTAGGTCAATACAGCCTTACTATACCAGTAGGTCAATACAGCCTTAATAAACAAGACCATTTCACTGGTAGGTCAACATAGCCTTAATATAACAGTAGGTCAATACAGCCTTACGATGACAGTAGGTCAATACAGCCTTACTATAACAGTAGGTCAATACAGCCTTACTATGACGGTATGTCAATACAGCTTTACTATAACGGTAGGTCAGTACAGCCTTAATACAACGGTAGGTCAATACAGCCTTACCATAATAGTAGGCCAATACAGCCTTTCTATAACAGTAGGTCAATACAGCCTTACTATAACAGTAGGTCAATACAGCCTTACTATAACAGTAGGTCAATACAGCCTTAATATAACAGTAGGTCAATACAGCCTTAATATAACAGTAGGTCAATACAGCCTTACTATAACAGTAGGTCAATACAGCCTTAATATAACAGTAGGTTAATACAGCCTTACTATACCAGTAGGTCAATACAGCCTTAATAAACAAGAATACAGCCTTAATATAACAGTAGGTCATTACGTCAATACAGCCTTAAGCCTTAATATAACAGTAGGTCAATACAGCCTTAATACAACAGCAGGTCAATACAGCCTTAATATAACAGTAGGTCAACACAGCCTTACTATAACAGTAGGTCAATACAGCCTTAATGCCATACTATCACAGTAGGTCAATACAGCCTTACTATAACAGTAGGTCAATACAGCCATTATATAACAGTAGGTCAATACAGCCTTAATATAACAGTAGGTCAATACAGCCTTAATATAACAGCAGGTCAATACAGCCTTACTATAAATTACAGCCATAGAGTTAATATAACAGTAGGTCAATACAGCCTTATATAACAGTAGGTCAATACAGCCTTAATATAACAGTAGGTCAATCACACTAATAGGTCAATACAGCCTTAATATAACAGTAGGTCAATACAGCCTTAATATAACAGTAGGTCAATACAGCCTTAATATAACAGTAGGTCAATACAGCCTTACTATAACAGTAGGTCAATACAGCCTTAATATAACAGCAGGTCAATACAGCCTTAATATAACAGTAGGTCAACACAGCCTTACTATAACAGTGTAATACAGCCTTAATATAACAGTAGGTCAATACAGCCTTATATAACAGTAGGTCAATACAGCCTTACTTATAACAGTAGGTCAATACAGCCTTAGGTCAATACAGCCTTATATAACAGTAGGTCAATACAGCCATTATATAACAGTAGGTCAATACAGCCTTAATATAACAGTAGGTCAATACAGCCTTAATATAACAGTAGGTCAATACAGCCTTAATATAACAGTAGGTCAACACAGCCTTAATATAACAGTAGGTCAATACAGCCTTACTATAACAGTAGGTCAATACAGCCATTATATAACAGTAGGTCAATACAGCCTTAATATAACAGTAGGTCAATACAGCCTTAATATAACAGCAGGTCAATACAGCCTTAATATAACAGCAGGTCAATACAGCCTTACTATAACACTCATCACAACAGAAGCTGAACATAGCCTCGATGTAACTCACCACAACAGTAGGTCAATACTTCTTCGTACAATAATTTATATATGTGCGTGGATTATTCGCAAAAGGTCACAAAGAGGTTAGGACCCAATCGGTTATTTAGGAATTGATGCAGTTTCATCGAACTTGATAATGGTGAATCGTTCGAGTTTTGGTTTTATTTGTGTGGCGTGAGATAATGAATGAAAACAATACACTCAATGAGTACTCGCTCGGGTTAGCTGCACAGGTAAAGTTGCAATAATCTGTGTGTATTACTGACACTGACTACACAGTTATAATCTACAAATGCAAAAACAACATACTTGACTTGTAAATTTTGAGACTGACACCATATGTTGTTATTATGGTGCATTATGCAAGCATTGCTGGTCTTACTCTCCGAAATTATGTATAGACTAGAAAAAAAATCCAACAGTTCAAAAAGAATACACAGAGTATCAAATACGTTCATGATTTAGAATAAGTACAGTTGTTTTTAAATAATGTGTCTTGGAGTCTTTATTAAAGGATAAGATCTCTATGAAATAACTGAAATCTACGTATTGTAGAGTATCTTTGATCCCATGTGTTACGTTTGGGTGCATAATCAAAACTGCTTAAGTCACATGCATAAAACTAGGGCAAAATATAAACAAAAGAAAAATTTACACCGAGAGTCCCGAAAAAAAGACAAGAATAAGACCATGTGTCTCGGAAGAGTAAGCGTCTCCTACTTCATCGACTACACCTGCCATGTAAAAACATAAGTCAATCCAAATAAGTAATGTCACGTTCTAAAATGAGAACAATGTTTACAAAAACGGAACAAACAGACAAACTAACGGGCATCAAACATTGCCAGCTTCATATCATACAGGGAAATATAATATTTCTCACTATTGCGACTATTAACGTTCCACATAATTTTCATCAACCACCGTCTTTTGAACCTTTGTATTACAAGTTTGTCAGTCAGTCGACGATTTCTTGCACGAAAATCGTGATGATGCGAACAGACCTTGAATATCTGATCAAATTTGACATTTAATACCGTAGGTTGGATATGCAGGAATATTGCTATGCAGAAATGCAAAATTCACAATAGGGAAATTGAAATCATCACAGCTTGATTGAAATATGTACATGTTGGTTTCGTTGTAGGTAAAGATCGGTATAAGCTGCTGATGTAGACGAGTCTGTCGTGTCTGATTTCCAACAAACTTACCTTCACTCAAATAACTGCGTAACATTATCTCATTTTCAATTTTGCAGGCTTTGATCGCTACCAAAAATGAAACATTTCGGCATGGTATTGTTAAGTCACAGATGGGAATTATCAGCAAACTCCAGGGGAAGAGTAAGTGTTAAATAAGGAGCAACAGTATATCTATACAAACAGGCAGAATTACGTCATTCTATTTTCGTTATTTCTCTGTATTGTAGGATAAATCTAAACACGTCGTTAAATGTTCTTTTTCCGGAGAAAAGGGAGGGGATGGGGTGAGGGTGGGATTTGGTTTGTTTGTAAATGTTTTAAATCCGAATAAATCAGTTTATCATTGACTGTAATAATGTTCTTCATATGATAATTTGTGCTCTCTGAAAATAATGATGTACATCCAAGACGAGAAATATATTTGTTTTATAGTTCCAGAGATCATGAAGAAAGGAGCTGCAGTATCACAAATTCTGCCTGCCCTTGCATATAACTCTTTCCTTGACATTAAGATTCACTCACCACTCCGTAAGTGTTATCAACAAGACAGCAGTGTGTCTACCACGTTTTATATTTTGATGTGAACGATGACATTCTCTTGACGGTTTATTGGTAGTTTCAAGTTAAAATGCTACACCAACAATTTCTAGCAATCCTTGTCTAAATACATAATTCATTTGCCTTTGAAAATGACAAAGATGATAGGCCGCAAGATGATATAACCTATGAAGCCCTCTCTTAATATATACTGAACAAAATAAGTTAAGGATCATAAACTTGAAACAGTGCAGTTTTACATACAAATAATAATATGATTATATTTTAAATTTTAATGACAGAACATTCATTTTAGTCTTTAATTACACAAAACAAATTCATTTGTGGTAATTGCTACCAAGAGCAGATAACCCTGAGTAACAGCACCCTTGAAATCAAAGTGTAAGAGGAAGTAGAGCAAGTTAATCATGTAGACAAGGAAAACTCATCAAACTGCAATTGGCAGTTTAATAGGCAGTATGACCTCCGTTGACATCAATAACTGCCCTGCAACGTCTGCACATGCTCCTTATTAGTCGTCGGTGGCTGATCTGTGGGATGCGCTGCCATTCCTCTTGCAGAGCAATCATAAGCTGTTGGCGGTTCTGTGGCGGATTAGGTCGAGCTGAAACCCGGCGTTGCAAGGTGTCCCAAGCATGCTCGATAGGGTTCAGATCAGGAGAACGACTTGGCCAGTCCATGCGAACGATTGCTTCACGTTGAAGATAGTCGTTGACCACACGAGCACGGTGAGGACGAGCATTATCATCCATCAGAATAAAATCATGGCCAACAACTCCTGCAATGGGCCTTACTAAAGGGTGTAGAATCTCGTCCCTGTATCGAACAGCTGTTAAAGATCCATTGTCTATGATGTAGAGGTCTGTATGGAAGTCAACACTGATCCCTGCCCAAACCATCACTGACCCACCACCAAAGCGATCATGCTGGACAACACAGCAGTCTGCATAGCGCTCTCCTTGGGTTCTCCATACCCTCCTCCTACCGTCATGGAAGTCAACACAAAACCTAAACTCATCTGTGAACATAACATTTCTCCAATGACGTAATTGCCAATTCAAATGATGAGTGGCCCATTGATGTCTGGATTGTCGATGACCTCTGGATAAAATTGGTCGGACTGCTGGTCTTCTAGCTCGTAAATTAGAGGCATGGAGTCTGTTTCTGATTGTCTGGGATGAAATCCTTAGATTTGTAGCACGCTGAAACTGAAGATTCAAGACAGGAGCACTCAAAAACCGCTGACGTCGTGCCGTGATGCAAATGAATCTGTCCTGTCGGGCTGTCGTACAGCGTGGTCGTCCAGATCTGGGGCGTTGACGGACGTTATTTGTCTGTTGATAGCGATTCCATAGCCTACTAATCACGCTCTGAGAAACATGAAGCTGTGCCGCCACATTTCGTTGAGTTTGACCAGCTTGAAGGAGCCCTATAGCTCGCGCGGCTTCCATATCATTTAAATGTCTTCGCATGATTAGTTTTTCAAGTTTTCGTTACAAATTGATTAAATGTTTCCAAATTCAACTTTTTTTAGCTTAGAAGTAACAGAATCAAAACCTGCAAGATTCCTCTGTAGTAATAGACCAGTCAGTTTTTCACACCACCATAGCTAACTAGAGCGGAACGGCAAGACCTTCAGATGCACGTGCTTTCACCTTTGACATGACTTTAGGTACATATTGGAGAAACTATGAGTGCAATTACCGGCAATACATGATTTGAATTTTTAAAGATATTATGGTCACAATTTATGATCCTTAACTTATTTTGTCCAGTATATACAAAGTATACATATGTCATAGTTATTTTTGGAATACAACTTTTAATTTAATTTTTAATCAAAATGAAGGAAAGAAATCGTTTTTGTTCTGTATCCTATCACCCTGACAAAAAAAAAAACCTTAGGTTTTCACACGAACACAAGAATGTTACTCACACATTTGTAATAGGAACTATGGTTGAAAACGGTTTGTGACCATAACATACATAATTTGAAATTTTACTCACTGATAAAAAATTAATTACCCAAATAAAAATGATGTCAGAGTATGTTAAGAATCTGTAAGAAGAAAAAAAGAGCTAAACATACAGGAACTTGAGGTTAGAATCAAAAGCATAAGTTACATAGTGGGTCTAATATTAGTATTCCACGTTTGATGTCATTACAGACATAGACAGTCGTACTACACAACCACCAAGAGCTCCTCCATTGGTTTTTAGAACTCCATCCACGACAATTGGGCCCCAACTAATAGGAGACACATATGTTTTATTGGAAAATATGAACGGGGTGACCTGTTTCGGGGTATGATTTCAGCCACAGAGACGGGATACAAATGTCCTTACACATCAGTTCAAGATATAAGGCTTTTCTGTTGTCAATGGCTACCACTTTCTATAACGCTGGGGTGTACTCCCAGAACAGAAAACACTTAACAGAGCATACTAGTCTGTTTACAGACTGATAGTGAAGACTTATGGACCCTTGTGTGCATGTGTCCATGAAACTATAACGGATTCATCTACTGAACAACTGAACAAAATAACGATTTAATATGTGTAATGAATTTATTTTGTCTTTGTTTTTTTCAGCCGGAGTGACGGTTACAGCAAACTGCACGCTCAACATCAAAATCGGAGTGGAAGACCCGATTCTGACGAACACCACGCGACAATGGAATCGCTCTTTGCTTGTATCATCAAACGCCACCCTTCTGGAGGCAATGGAAGCCCTCCAGAATGAACCTTCCTCCGACTTTAGGTACACTGAAAATAAAATAAATGACCTTAAACGTTAGGAATATTTATATCCTACATTTGAATTAAATTTCGTTTTAAATTGTTGAGTCCTGATTTTTTCAAATTAAAGAAAAAGATGTAAAGGATGTTTGTATCAAAATGTTGCAGTCTACAAAAGTGACATTCTGCAGTAAAATGTCCTTATAGACAATATCATTTCGACAATGCTTTATTCACTTGATTTAATTGTGTATGAAAAGTCTTCCTGGCAAATTGCCGCTCTAATCTATCTATGGTATTAAGTAGGTAATTAGTAAAACCTATTTAAATCCTCATTAATTAATACAACCAATCAACACCCAACTAATGGATGACATTTAGATCAAGAGTATCCAAGTGTTATTCTTTTCTTTTCCGTATTTTGTTTTTTCATTTCTATATTTCTGAAAGTGAATGGACAGATGATAGGCCATTTTCGTAGGCCAAGTGCGTATCTAGGTGCTCCTTTCCCTGGATCTGCCAATGAGGATTTACAAAATACGCTTTTGTCTTTCTTTATAGAATAAGTTTTCTTAACAGACACAGATATATCGTCCTGTATAAAAAATCAGAATCACATGGTAACAAATGATTGTGTGTTTGACTTTCCAGTTTTGTCACTGTGCCGACAAGTTTAGGCCCTGTGGTCATTACAGTCTGTGGAATACCAAGAAATGAGACCAATATGTACTGGAGGATTATGAAGGCTCCGGACATACCTCTCCAAACAGGTATATATATATGTGTGTATAGAAAAATTTAAATATACTTTAAATATAAACACTTTAATAAGATCCAAGTCATAATGCATATTTACTGTAGAACTGATTTCATATATATTAATAAAAAAAACCCACAAAAATATCGAATAATGAAAGTTATACTATTGCTATTTTCATCGCATTCCCTATGTCTGTATCTTGTGAATATGAAACACGATTTAGGTAGTCATTGATAATTCCAGATATGAACCACTCAACCGTAAAACACTCTGATTCTATTTATGTAAATTTGCTTTCATTTTAGGTATTGCAGACACAAACCCCCAAAACAACGACCACTACATCTTCAAGCTCACCTCGATCTAACGTCAATAGACCGTCAAATCAAGACCTGATGAAACCTTCCTTCTAGAGCTCAAAACTCTATATTCCAGTAGAAACAAATACTCTCAGATGATGAGTTGTTTTATGTCAGTACTTTTTATCTTTTGATGTGGCCTGTTCTTTGATATCTATTTCAAACTTAGAATACATCACATACGCTGTAAGATCATTATACACTTAACTCTTCGATTGCCGAATATCAATAAAATCTTTGTCAATGACATGTGTTCTAACCGACTATACAATGTGATGCTAGCTACTAACCTCGTATTATCTGACTGATTCATTATACAAAGTCTCAAATAACCTAAGCAAATTCAAACGATATCACACATTGTCACGGGGCATTGCACTGATGATTATATTTTTTCTGAATCATACATTGTATGCAGGATAATTGAAACACTTCTTAAACATAGGTTTTTTTACTTTTTGATTTTCAAAATATGCGGTAAATTCAATATTTTACTTTTTGTTGCTGTTTCTAATTCTGTTTTAATGTACAATTTCATTAAAAAATAAATAAACACCTCTTGCTATCCAGTAACAAATTCTGAAAACACAACGGATATTATCAGACACATTCGTTAAAATTGTACCACATCACACAATAAAGGTTTATCTTGCTACCACTGATTTCCTAGCGTCTGTTGAACTATACCGCAACATAACCTATAGTGAAAAAGTATTGTAAATTAACATATACCTTAAACTGCTATCTGTTGTTCATTGTACGTATTATTCTAAGCATCAAAATTTCTTTTGCTTTCATTCCAAAGTTACCATAGTGTTCGCATCAATGATAAAAGAACTTCCGTTAAGGGAATATTCATTCATTTTTTGTATTTTCGGAGAATGCATACTGGCCTATATAAAGAATCTGCCCGATTGGCATCGGTAGCAAACATGACAGGATTATAAGAAACCCATACATATCAAAGCATGCCGATTGCTCATACATCAATATGGATACTTATAAGATGTTTACTGTTCAGCCAGGATGGATTTCACCTATTTACCTTGTTTAATTATTCTTCGTCTTAAAGATCTGGACTTACGAATATCATTACCAACACTGCTTATTTTGAATTGATGCATTGTATCATTATATGTTTTGATAACATTGTTTTGTTTCAGATATATATTATTAAGTATATGATAAATAATAACAATATGTAGGGTATTTTTGGAAGTGGTGTTTGGTTGGGTTTGAATTTCAAGAAAAACAACACGTGACTATTATTTTCCACGTTTTTAATATGAGTTAGCGGAGTTGTTGATTGTCGGTTCACATTTATTTCATGACATTCTATGAATTTTGGCATTAAAAAATGGGATATAGAATGAAAACATTTTCAGTTTAAATTTTGTATCGATCTGGACTTTTGATTGAGTTAGCTTTATTACAATGCTCTAGCTAACCATTGATGTGATAGGGTTATTTATAATGTAATGCTACCTTGATGACGTCATCTAATGTTGTTAGTGTGATTGTTTAAATGGCCGATACCAAAATAAAGAAGGATGTATTTATAGTATTACCCAAACTCAGATTTCTTGTACGCTCTGTGATTCTCTATTCTATTCATTATTTAACATTTTTAATGTTTACTGTTAATTTTAAGACTTTACCTCAAAGTCTTTTAATTTGAAAAGAATTTAAAGCAAAATCTTATCCTTTACCAGTGTGTCTAACAAAACTACCTCTAAAGGCAACTTGGAAATCTAATCATGCCCTCGTAAATCTAATATACGGAGACGTGACAAAACCTCCAACTCCATGAAATATAGAGATAAGTCTTTCAACTTATCTTGTGTAACTGATAATCAGTATTCAGATGTCTGAAAAAGAGTTTTCTATAAAATAATTTTGAAATAAAAGTTAAATGAATGATTTATGTTTTAGTTGGATTTAATTGCTGCTAGATTAGTAACTGATCCCAAGGGATGAAATGCAATAAAGATAACCTTGTTATATTGAAAATGCATTGTGTTGCTAATATGGTTAGATTTATCCCCGAACAGTATGCAGTTGACATACCACTTAGGTAATCAGTCTGGGACAAACCCAATAGTAGTAAAATGTGAACTTTAATGCTTTAGTTTATTTCACAATAATAAAGGTCTTCGTAAGTTACACGATAGACGAGTAGAGCCAACGTTATAAACAAATTAGGTATAGATGTCTGAATGACATCAACACAAAGGAAGTAAATATTGACCAGAGACGAGAGATTTTAAAAAGAATTTTAAAATTGGTAATATGTTAATAACAGTTACCTTTGAAAGAAAGATATCTATCTATGAAGGAAATCCCACACATGCATTAAGCAAACTTTGAAAAGACCAAACACTGGCTAATCATGCTTCCTCATTAAAATCATTTAGATTGCCTATTAATGATTATGATTAATGATGCCTTATGTCTTGTTTAAGTTAGAAATTAATAAATAAGACTGATTTCGCCGAGGATTTGAAAAAAATTCGAAAGATCTCTAAGTTAAAGTTATATTCAATTATTAAAAAAGTCTGCTTGAGCACAAAAACTATGCTTGAGCACAAAATCTATGCTTGAACAAGAGAATGGTTTCATGAATACGGGCCCTGGTCTTATTCTTGTACTATTTTCAAGAGTCTCCTTGTAGATACTTCTTTTGCTCATACTTTGCCTTTTTTATTGAAATTGTGTTTGAATTACGATTTTGTTGCCATGTCGATATTTTCTTGATGTTTTCTTCAAGTGAGTTGAACGGCGGTATAGATATATGGTTGTGAACTTTACTGAAGCGTATTTCTGAGAAAAGAAGAAATATACAGAGGACGAACCACATCTTCGTCGAGGTAGGTGGTAAGATCTTCCCACAGACCATTAGGTTACCTATGGTAACTAACTGCGTCTCTCTATTGGCTGACTTGTTGTTTTTTTTTTTTTTTTTTTTTCATACGAGGCTGAATTAATGTAATAGTTTGCCAAGACAGGTCACAATGACCGTGCAAAGTCATTTCATTTCAATTTCAGATATATCAATGAAGTCTTGCCTTTGAATAATAAGAAATTTATTGATTGCGTCCATTGTATATATTGGGGCTCAATTGTCGTGGATGGAGTTCTAAAAACCAATGGAGGAGCTCTTGGTGGTTGTGTAGTACGACTGTCTATGTCTGTAATGACATCAAACGGGGAATACTAATATTAGACCCACTATGTAACTTATGCTTTTGATTCTAACCTCAAGTTCCTGTATGTTTAGCTCTTTTTTTCTTCTTACAGATTCTTAACATACTCTGACATCATTTTTATTTGGGTAATTAATTTTTTATCAGTGAGTAAAATTTCAAATTATGTATGTTATGGTCACAAACCGTTTTCAACCATAGTTCCTATTACAAATGTGTGAGTAACATTCTTGTGTTCGTGTGAAAACCTAAGGTTTTTTTGTCAGGGTGATAGGATACAGAACAAAAACGATTTCTTTCCTTCACTTTGATTAAAAATTAAATTAAAAGTTGTATTCCAAAAATAACTATGACATATGTATACTTTATATATATTAAGAGAGGCCTTCATCTTGCGTCCTATAATCTTTGTCATTTTCAAAGGCAAATGAATTATGTATTTAGACAAGGATTGCTAGATATTATTGGTGTAGCATTTTAACTTGAAACTACCAATAAACCGTCAAGAGAATGTCATCGTTCACATCAAAATATAAAACGTGGTAGACACACTGCTGTCTTGTTGATAACACTTACGGGATCTCAATGTCAATGAAAGAGCTATTTGCAAGGGCAGGCAGAATTTGTGATACTGCAGCTCCTTTCTTCATGATCTCTGGAACTATAAAACAAATATATTTCTCGTCTTGGATGTACATCATTATTTTCAGAGAGCACAAATTATCATATGAAGAACATTATTACAGTCAATGATAAACTGATTTATTCGGATTTAAAACATTTACAAACAAATCAAATCCCACCCTCACCCCATCCCCTCCCTTTTCTCCGGAAAAAGAACATTTAACGACGTGTTTAGATTTATCCTACAATACAGAGAAATAACGAAAATAGAATGTACACAAGACGTAATTCTGCCTGTTTGTATAGATATACTGTTGCTCCTTATTTAACACTTACTCTTCCCCTGGAGTTTGCTGATAATTCCCATCTGTGACTTAACAATACCATGCCGAAATGTTTCATTTTTGGTAGCGATCAAAGCCTGCAAAATTGAAAATGAGATAATGTTACGCAGTTATTTGAGTGAAGGTAAGTTTGTTGGAAATCAGACACGACAGACTCGTCTACATCAGCAGCTTATACCGATCTTTACCTACAACGAAACCAACATGTACATATTTCAATCAAGCTGTGATGATTTCAATTTCCCTATTGTGAATTTTGCATTTCTGCATAGCAATATTCCTGCATATCCAACCTATGGTATTAAATGTCAAATTTGATCAGATATTCAAGGTCTGTTCGCATCATCACGATTTTCGTGCAAGAAATCGTTGACTGACTGACAAACTTGTAATACAAAGGTTCAAAAGACGGTGGTTGATGAAAATTATGTGGAACGTTAATAGTCGCAATAGTGAGAAATATTATATTTCCTTGCATGATATGAAGCTGGCAATGTTTGATGCCCGTTAGTTTGTCTGTTTGTTCCGTTTTTGTATACATTGTTCTCATTTTAGAACGTGACATTACTTATTTGTAAATGATTGACTTATGTTTTAACATGGCAGGTGTAGTCGATGAAGTAGAAGACGCTTACTCTTCCGAGATACATGGTCTTATTCTTGTCTTTTTTCGGGACTCTCAGTGTAAATTTTTCTTTTGTTTATATTTTGCCCTAAATTTTTGTATGTGACTTAAGCAATTTTGATTATGCACCAAAACGTAACACATGAGATCAAAAATACTCTACAATATGTAGATTTCAGTTATTTCATAGATATCTTATCCTTTATTAAAAACAACTGTACTTATTCTAAATCATGAACGT